GAGTTGAGTTCCCTGTGCTATACAGTAGGTCTTTATTAGTTACCTCTTTTATACTAGGGTGTATATGTCAATCCCAATCATCCAATTTATCCCTCTCCCCCTTTCCTTCCTGGTAACTGTAAGATTGTTTTCTACATTTGTGACTGTTTCTGTTTTGTAAATAAAAGTTGCTTCATTTCTATCCTCAGCAAGATTTGGGCAGTCTGCTCCATTCTCTAAGCCAGGATATATTTCATTATTCTAAAGTTTAATGAAACACATATGCATTCTGAATGCACATCTTTGGGACTCACTGTGGATCTTATGGGGCTTCCCTGGTGACTCAGATGATAAAGAATCTGCCTGCCATGTGGGAGACCTGGGTTTGATCCCTGGAGAAGGGAAGATTCCCTGGAAAAGGGAATGGCAACCGCCTCCAGTATTCTTGCCTGGAGAATTCTGTGGACAGAGTAGCCTGGTGAGGTACTGTCCATGGGGTCACAAAGAGTTGGATGAATGCTATTGGGGATATAAATCAGGAAATAGTTTGAAGAAACCACATACCATCTTCAAGGTTAGCAGGTTGACAGTCTCTTCTAATTAATCCTTTGAAGGATCTAGAGCCACATATCTACCAGCCTCATCCTTGCTCATCCTCTGTACTCCGGCCACCGTATTTGCTGCCACTGCAACTGGTATAATCAGCCTTTAAAATTGAACATCGTCTATTTCTTATGCTGGAGAAAATTCCAGTATGGTTTTCTCTGTGTAAATCTGTACAGTTACATTTTAAAAGTGTATATAATGATGATGCCTATATTCCTGCAGGTTTTGGAGTTGGTCTCATTTTGGACTAGGACTTGGGATTGATCAGCTTTCTTTATCACATTTTCTTTCAAGGCAGCCTAGAAATCCACAGGACCCAGTTAGAATCCCACCTCAGGGTAATGGTAGGTAGGTAATCAGGCTGAGAAAATGAGCAGGTCTAGGATACCTGTAGAGTTGTTTTCCGACTATGGCTTAACTGAACATGCTTAATTCAGAATCTAGTATCTGGGCTGGTTCATATAAAAGATGGTAAAAAGATCTTAACAAAGACCATTTGCAGGCATGGTGAAACTTAGCACCTCCGTAAGGGGGGAATCTTAATTGGTGAAAGGCTTATGTCAGCAGGAATAGGAGTGTCAAACGAAACAGTTACCTGGCTTTCTGGGGTATCAAAATTTATCAGAGCAAGACATCATTGTTCAAACCAATAGTCAAGAATTATAATCCTATTTTTGTTCTTGGCAGACTGCTTGTGTTGGGGGAAGCTTACCTTAGCATGTAGATTGCTGGGTCAGAAAGGAGAGTGATGATACCTGCCTGTTTTACTGGCCCAGTTTTTCCCACTGTAAACAATCATTACAGTCGTGTTTACTGAGACATCTGTGTGGTTATGTGGACGTAAGATAGAGAAATGCTTAAGCTTATATTTATTAAGAAAGTGTGAAATGCAATCAGAATGTTTACTGTCCTTAAATTTCATAATATATACAGATTTTCTTTTTGCCTTTATTCTTATTCATATGGTTGTGTTCTCCTGATGGCAACATTTATAAAAAGGAAATACATTACTGCACCATCTCTCCTTTTTCCTTCAGTTGTTTTGCACATACACAGCTCTGATTTCAGCAATCAGTGTGGTCTTAGATGAGACTGAGCACATATATTGTTTCCAGGGTTCAGCTGTCTTCTGGGGATTTTCTCTTTCAGCTCAGTTCAGTTCAATTGCTCAGTCGTGTCCAACTCTTTGTGACACCATGAGCTGCAGCACGCCAGGCTTCCCTGTCAATCACCAACTCCCAGAGCTTACTCAGACTCATGTCCATTGAGTCGGTGATGCCATCCAACCATCTCATCTTCTGTTGTCCCCTTCCACCTTCAATCTTTCCCAGAATCAGTGTCTTTTCAAATGAGTCAGTTCTTCACATCAGGTGGCCAAAGTATTGGAGTTTCAGCTTCACCATCAGTCCTTTCTATGAATATTCAGGACTGATTTCCTTTAGGATGGACTGGTTGGATCTCCTTGCAGTCCAAGGGGCTCTCAAAAGTCTTCTGCAACACCACAGTTCAAAAAGATTTCTTCAATGCTCAGCTTTCTTTATAGTCCAACTCTCATATCCATATATGACTACTGGAAAAACCATAGCTTTGACTAGACAGACCTTTGTTGGCAAAGTAATATCTCTGCTTTTTAATATGCTGTCTAAATTAGCCGTAACTTTTCTTCCAAGGAGCAAGCGTCTTTTAATTTCATGGCTGCAGTCACCATATGCAGTGATTTTTGGAGCCCCACAAAATAAACTCTGTCACTGTTTCCATTGCTCTCCCATCTATTTGCCATGAAGTGATAGCACCAGATGCCATGATCTTAGTTTTCTGAATGTTGAGTTTTAAGCCAACTTTTTCAGTCTCCTCTCTCACTTTCATTAGGAGGCTCTTTAGTTCTTCTTCGCTTTCTGCCATAAGGGTGGTGTCATCTGCATGTCTGAGGTTATTGATATTTCTCCTAGTAATCTTGATTTCAGCTTGTGCTTCATTCAGCCCAGGATTTCTCATGATGTCCTCTGCATATAAGTTAAATAAGCAGGGTGACAATATATAACCTTGACGTACTCCTTTCCCGATTTGGAACCAGGCTGTTGTTCCATGTCCAATTCTAACTGTTGCTTCCTCACCTGCATACAGATTTCTCAAGAGGTAGGTCAGGTGATCTGGTATTCCCACCTCTTGAAGAATTTTCCACAGTTTATTGTGATCCACACAGTCAAAGGCTTTGGCATGGTCAATAAAGCAGAGGTAGATGTTTTTCTGGAACTCTCTTGCTTTTCTGATGATCCAGCAGATGTTGGCAATTTGATCTCTGGTTCCTCTGCCTTTTCTAAATCTAGCTTGAACATCTGGAAGTTCACGGTTCACATTTTGTTGAAGTCTGCCTTGGAGAGTTTTGAGCGTTACTTTACTAGCGTGTGAGATGAGTGCAATTGTGCAGTAGTTTGTGCATTCTTTGGCATTGCCTTTCTTTGCTATTGGAATGAAAACTGACCTTTTTGAGTCCTGTGGACACTGAGTTTTCCAAATTTGCTGGCATATTGAGTGCAGGACTTTCACAGCATAATCTTTTACAATTTGAAATAGCTCAACTGGAATTCCGTCACCTCCCCTAGCTTTGTTCGTAGTGAAGCTTCTTAAGGCTCACTTGACTTCGCATTCCAGGATGTCTGGTTCTCGGTAGTAATCACACAAACATGGTTATCTGGGTCATGAAGATCTTTTTTGTACAGTTTTTCTGTGTGCTTTTGCCACCTCTTTGCTGTCCCCCTCATAGAAAGATGGGGTTTCCCTGCTGGCTCAGTTGGTAAAGAATCTGCCTGCAGTGCAGGAGACCCAGGTTTGATCCCCAGGTTAGGAAGATCCCCTGGAGAAGCAAATGGCAACTCACTCCAGTATTCTTGCCTGGAAAATTCTATTTTTCCAGGAGCCTGGTGGGCTGCAGTCCATGGTGTCACAAGAGTCGGACATGACTTAGCAACTAAAGCACCACCAATAGAAGGATGTACTTATTAATCAGATTTTATAAGGAATGAAAAAAGACTGTCTAGCCAAAGACTTTTGGCAGACAATAGAACTTTCTGCAGTTATGACAGTGCCCTGGACCTGCCCTATCCAGTGTTGTAGCCATTGACCTCAGGTAGCTCTTGTGGGTTTGAAATGTGGCTAGTGTGAGTGAGGAACTGAATGTTTAATTGTATTTAGTTTAAATATAAACAGGCATATGTGAATAGTAGCCACTGTATTGAAGAGCACAGGAAAGAAAGAATCCATAGCATCAGCAAAGATAATCAGGAAAATGCATTGATCAGTGGGATTCACCCTTTTAACTGCCTCGTTTCTATATGGAGCCAGATGTCACTTAGAGCAGTGCAGCAGGATTTTTGATAGATGTTAAAATGGTCGTTGAAAAAAGGTGAGGAAAAATCCACCCAGAGCATTTTTAATTACTATAGAGATTATTCTTTATTCTATGTTGGTCTCTTTAAACATCTGTCATACAGATTTACCATGGTGTTTCAGGTTGGATAGTACTTTTTTTTTCCATTTCATAGAAGAGAGGAAACTGAGGTACACTGATTTAAAATTTTAAAACCTCAGTATTCCAGAGCCAGTAAGTGGTGGAACCAAGGTTTGAACCCAGGTAGAGTTCTTCATGAATGCATCCGCAGTGAATCTTTCCCACATTGTCTTTAGAGCATATGTGCATATTTCCTTAGTTCTCTTTGGAAACTGGGCTGGAAGGTGTTAAGAACATGAACTGTGGCACCACACTGGTTGATTTGAATCCTGCCTCTACTACTTACAAAGTGTGTGAAATTGAGCAAATTACTTAGTATCTCTGAGCTTCAACTGTCTCCTTTTAATACGTAAATAATAAAGGCACCCACTTATAGGGTTGTGATGAGGGTTAACAATTCCTGGCACATTGTTTGAACCATATATATTTGTCATTATCATTATTTTTTATTTGAAAGAGATTGATCATGTATGTAAGGATGTTGACTTAAGGTGATATTAATAGTTGAAATAGAGATAGACCTTAATAATTCAGATAACTCAGGAAAAAGCACCCTGCTGTTCGGCCACTTTGGTGTCGCCGTCACTGGAATTACAAAGTTCCAGAGTCTGCATGCCCTCATATCTTCGCTTTTCATGTTACATCTCCTTTGGTGTCTTTGATTCGTTCTGAATGCTGAGCAGTGACGAACACTAACACAGCTGGAAAGAGCCGTAAGATTTGCTTTGCTGTCTTCCAGCAGGGAATTATTGCCATGGATACCAGCATCAGAGGAAGGCTGGGGAGCTCTCTCAACTTGTCTCCTAAGTGGTCTGACATCTGTTTCTGGCAAGGCCAATAATGAATGTGCTGCTAGCTTCATAGCAAACGGCAGCCTCATCCACACCTCTTGTTTTTTCCCCAACAGATGGCCTCTGCCCAAGATGCCAGGTATGGCCAGAAAGACTCCTCTGATCAGAACTTTGACTACATGTTCAAACTGCTCATCATTGGCAATAGCAGCGTGGGGAAGACATCCTTTCTCTTCCGTTATGCGGATGACTCCTTCACATCTGCGTTCGTCAGCACAGTCGGGATCGATTTCAAAGTCAAAACTGTGTTCAAAAATGAAAAGAGAATTAAGCTCCAGATTTGGGTAAGTGACTTTGAACCGAGAGCATCCTTCAGTCTAGGGCGTGGACCATGTACATTTGTGAGGCAAATGCTTTCTGCCTTGTTCTGATCCCGTGGGGGTCCATCAGCCTTCATTGCCAGGTTCTTGGCCACAGCACATTCTAGTTCAAAGGCCAAGAGAGTGATGCCTCTCTAAGGTGTGGAGACTGAACTAGACCTTGTTGTCATTTGATGCTTCTTAAGACTCTCTAGAAGAAAGAAAATCCAGTGTCTGTTGTGGTAAGGAACACTCAACAGAAAGTCTGGCTCTGTCTTGTACGGGTCTGTGTGACCTGGAGCAAGTCTCTGGGTCCTTCTCTGCCACTTTTCGAATCTACAAAATAGGCAAACTGAAACTAGCCCTTTTAGGTCACAGGAAGCAGCCTGCCCTGGTCATTTTAAAGCATAATGTAGAGAAAGCTTAGGATTAGTCCCTTCATGATGCCGCAGCTAAATTTTGAAAGTTGTCTATTTAATCTCCTCAGACCTTGTGTTTTCAGCGCCAAGAGTTATGTTTACCACACAGTCCAACACAGCAAGACACATGAAATAAAGAATTTATTTTAAACAGGGTTTTTTTTTCTAAGGAGGAGGTTCTTTAATAAGTTTTGAGACCATGTGTCTGGCTTTCTGCCTCTTCTCTCCCCCATAGAAGATCAGAGATTCCTTAACTAAATGGTTGTGATAACTGAGGAGAATAGCAAGAGAGAAACAGAAGAAAAAGTATGTATGGGTAGCAGGTTTGAAAGAAATAAGAGATGAAATAACAAAAAATTTGACTATACCAATAGAGAGTTATATAATATTTTTTGTACATCATGTAATGTATGAGCACCATGGTAGAATGCTTTTACAGTGGATTTTGGTCCCCTTTCTCTGTTCTTTTGTATATCTGCCGCTCAAATGGATTTGAGCTATAAATGGATGTTTCCCAAGAGTTTAGCTTTCTGTCTTCTTCTGAGACAACTCCAACACCTACTAACATTTGTTGCTGGTGCCAGGGTTGATTTGTAGGACTGATGATAAGCTTGCCTCCTCAAATATGGAAAGCTGAAAGAAAGACAAATCTTGGAGTAAAGTATTAAAATTTTTTTTAAAGGAAAGATCCCTTAAGATATATGTATATAATAAATATAGCAGATGTCCTTTCATATCTTAAAGCTCTTAGGAATAAAATTCAAAGGTGCAGGTATACATACAGGTAGATATCCTCTTAGGCAGCTTACAGTAGATTGTTAGTTTTTTACTTTTTCTCATTATGGAGTTTTCAAAGTCTAATTAGAACTCAGAAAAGAACTTGAAAAAATAGACCCAGTTCCCATTGCTGCTCTACTGGTTCCCAAAGATAATTTTGTTGGGTGGATCCGTCTTTAGAAGCATGCGGCCCTGTATACAGAGACAGAAAGAGCTGTGTTTATTGCTTCATATTCTCTTCCTTTTGAACTTTAAGCAACTGATTATTATATGGAGATAACTTTCAGATCCAGGCCTAAGAAAGGTCTCTCTGTTTTCATGGGCTTTGGTGAATTAAAAATTAATTTGGTAACTCACATCTCTTACCTTTGTAACCATGTTCTTTCTGCTAATACGAAAGAACTGTCATTTCTCTGGCTGACAGCTCCTGCCATTAATCTTAGGAATGTTTAAAGGTGGTTGTTGTGATTGTTTAGGTAAAACATCAACATGGTGTGTAAGTGCAATCCTATAATCTCTAGCAGTTTCTCAATTTAGGTTCTTGAAAGAATTGCTTGCTAGAGATGTAAAGTCATCTGTCCTTAATATAAAACAGATATACTTCAAATAATATACATTTTTGAGAATTATAATCGCATACTTACAAAAATATTTCAAAACCCTCAGGGATAGTACCAGGCCAGAGCTCACTCCTGTACACTGAATTTCAGTTGCATCTGTTTTTTACGGGGGAGTCTGGTGGGCTGCCGTCTATGGGGTTGCACAGAGTCAGACACGGCTGAAGTGCATTAGCAGCAGCAGCAGCAGCAGCAGCGTCCATAATCCAGGCTTCCCCAGTGGCTCAGTGGTAAAGAATCTGCCTGCAATGCAGGAGCCACAGGAAATGCGGGTTCGATCCCTGGGTCAGGAAGATCCCCTGGAGAAGAGTATGGCAACCTACTCCAGTATTCTTGCCTGGAGAATCCCCATGAACAGAGAGGCCTGGTGGGCTACAGTTCATGGGGTTACAAAGAGTCAGACATGATTGAAGCGACTTCCATGCACACATGCATCCATAATCCACCATTTCCCCAAAACCTCTAATTCTCTTCATAGCCCAGTTCAGCCTGGGACCTCATTCTCCATTCTGTGGACACCCACACTCCCTTCAGGGATAAGCCACCCAGAAACCCTTCACCCAGCTCTCTCCTCAGTCACAATGGTAGTCTGATGGCCACTATTTTCTTTGTTATCAAACCAATCTTATTTCTTCCTCTTAGGGACATTGGGAACTCGTAACGCACCCATGATTCTAGGGGTGTGAAAATAGATTTGACACTACCTTATTCTAACTGGTCTACTAGATTGTGAACCACTCAAAAGCAAAGACTTTGGCTCATCAAGCCTATAATATAGTTGGGAAAAGAAATGAATGCTCATGGAGTAACTATATGTCTATAAGCAAATATCAAGTTGTGTAAATATTATATGTAGCTAGCATTTATTGAGCATATACCTATGCCTTATATCTAATTCCCACAACAACCAAACTTTCTATTATTACTCCTATTTTGTACAAGAAACCTGAAGGTTTTGTTATTGTTCACTTGCTAAGTCCTGTCTGACAAATTAAATAGCTTGTCCAAGATCATAGATGTCAAGGGGTTGATTCCAGGCTAGGTCTATCAAATTCTAATGCTTTGGTTTGTTCCCCTTCAGCATGTTGCCCTAATTAAGATGCGTTCTCTTGATCAGGTGGTAGAATCTTAGACAGTGTATCCTGGGATGCTGAAGAACATGTTTTTGAAAGAGTTTGACCATCTCAATGACTTCAGTCATGCAGAGGGAGAAAGGATAAAGAGTAACAGGCTAGCTTGCTTAAATCTAAACATTCCTACAGTAATTCTAGGGGTTCTTGCTTTGTTATAACTATAGTGGGAAATAATTAGTTGTGTACAGTTTTTTTAACTTCATTTATTTGGGACTGTATCTGGCATTGATGGTTTGCCATTTTATATGCTAGTAGTCAAACATGAACTGTTTTCCCCAACTAATAGTATTTTTATGCACTTAACTGTGTATGATCTGTTTCTACTTGCAACATTTCTGAAACCAAAGGTGGGAGTTTTCCAAACTAAGAAATTCTTCATTTCTATGAAGATACTAACTAGATGTCCTATAATTTAATACGATGTTGACACTAGTTACCCAGAGTTAGCACAGATCCCACAAGTAAAGGAATCAGTTCCACAAACCTATCTCTTCTCCTCCCATCCCCACTTCAGACACCCATCACAAACCTGGGCCTCTGTGCTTTTGACCTACAGGCTATAAATTGACAGGTCCACAACCCCACACCTCAGGGTTGATAAGTTGCTAGAATAGCTCACAGAATTCAGGAAAACTTTACTTACTGTTACCAATTTATTATAAAGGACACAACTCAGAAACAACCAGATAGAAGAGAAGCATAGGGAAAATTTTTGTGGGGGAGGGTGGGTGCAGCATCCTGCAGTCTCTGGTGTGTTACCCTCCCAGCACCTTGATACATTCACCGACACCAGAGCTCTCTAAACCTCATCCTTTTGGATTTTTATGGAGCTTCCTTTATATAGGCATGACAGATTCAGTCCTTGGTCATTGGTGATTAATTCAGTCTTCAGCCTGTCTCCCCTCTTCAGAGGTCAGGGTTGGGACTGAAAGTTTCAACTTTTTGATCACATAAGTTGTTCTTCTGACAATCAGAATATACTTTTTATTTTTATTTTATATTGGAATATAGTTGATTTACAATGTTGTAATAACCCCTCATTTTGAAACTATGTAGGTGTAAACCAGGAGTCACCTCATTAGCATGAGCTCTTGGGTGGCTGGAAGGGGCTTATTATAAATAATAAAACATGCTCCTTTCACTCCTATCAGAAAATTCCAAGGATTATGGAAGCTCTGTGTCAGGAACCAGGAGGAAGACCAAATATGTGTTTCTTGTTCTATCACACTATCAGAGCCTATTATATATTTCAAAGGAAGAGAAGCAAAATTGTTTCATAGTGATAAAAATCATCATGGATTAGTCCAGTTCATTATTATCTTTACCAAGAAAAACTATAGATATTCATGTAATTCTGATCACTCTGTTTTATTTTTTATTTTTTTCCCATTTATTTTTATTAATTGGAGGCTAATTACTTTACAATATCGTAGTGGGTTTTGCCATACATTGACATGAATCAACCATGGATTTACATGTGTTCCCCATCCCAATCCCCCCTCCTGTCTCCCTTTCCATCCCATCCCTCTGGGTCTTCCCAGTGCACCAGCCCTGAGCACTTGTCTCATGCATCCAACCCTCGTCCAAGGGTGATCTGTTTCACCCTTGATAGTATACTTGTTTCAATGCTATTCTTTCAGAACATCCCACCCTTGCCTTCTCCCACAGAGTCTAAAAGTCTGTTCTGTACATCTGTGTCTCTTTTTCTGTTTTGCATATAGGGTTATCGTTACCATCTTTTAAAATTCCATATATATGCATTAGTATACTGTATTGGTCTTTATCTTTCTGGCTTACTTCACTCTGTATATAATGGGCTCCAATTTCATCCATTTCATTAGAACTGATTCAAATGGATTCTTTTTAATGGCTGAGTAATATTCCATGGTGTATATGTACCACAGCTTCCTTATCCGTTCATCTGCTGTTGGGCATCTAGGTTGCTTCCATGTCCTGGCTATTATAAACAGTGCTGCAATGAACATTGGGGTACACGTGTCTCTTTCAGATCTGGTTTCCTCGGTGTGTATGCCCAGGAG